GCTACGGCTTGAGCCACTTCCCCAGCCCCAAGCATGGTGTTTTAATTAAGGCACAAATGGATTCTTTAAACACATAAAGTATAGCTACAATCATATTTTGGTCTCTTAATCAAATCATTGCTAAACGTTTATATCTTGGAAATACTTTTGTTCAGGTTGAGTTTTCACTATTGGCTCAATATCAAAAGGAATTTTTACAGCAAAACTTAGAATAAATCTTAGAACGGCATTTGATAACTTACTTGTAAGGACACCTCTTCTTATTTTATAAAATATTTTAACTATAAATATTAATCAATTTTCCCTTTTTAGATTTCAGATGAAAACAATACAAACATCAGTTTTCTGCTTGACAGAAACAAATAGAAAATAATCCAGATAATTAGTGACATTTTTCTGTTTTAAAGTTGGAAAATGGGTTCAAAGAGTGAGACTTAAGACGAGTACTAAATATGCATTCTTTAAATAAATATACAAATTAATAATCTCAAGAGGATTTGAAAAGTTAGTAACTCAAGGAAGTGTTACATTTCAAAGATAAGAAATGAAAGATAAAGCTGGTAGTTAGGTTTCATCACAGTAAAAATTTGCAAATACCTTCTTCAACATCTGAGATATATTCGCCATCACTGAGCATTTCAGGGGCGTTGGCTTTACGAACTGCATGATTTAAGCGAACAATATAAGTGTATGAAAAATACATATTCCTGATACAACAACAAAACATTTCAAAATTTCCCCACTTTTGCAATGAACTTTTTCCAAGAACCAACAAAAACACAGTTAGTCATAATTAATATGAACTCAAAGGACATTTTCATACCTTCATCATCAGACATATCAAGAACTTCATTCATCGTTTCTGGAACATTCATTTTGTGCTTCTCTGTGATCGTCTAGTAACAAAAAAAAAAAAAATCAGTCACTTTAGTGTGAGCATTTTAAGGTGTCCACTTTGTTGTTCTTTTGCATGGTCTGAGGAATGTGCCATGGTAACTTATGGTTTGGATCTTTTTTATCCTTTTTTTTTTACCTCGTGGTACCAGAAATTGAACTCTGGGATATTCTACGTTTGAACTTCATCTCTAGCCTTTTTAAATTTTTTTTCTTTTTAATATTGAGACAGAGTCTCACTCAGGTGCCCAGGTTGGTCTCAAACTTGTGATCCTCCTGCTCCTTTGGTTCCTGAGTAGCTGGGATTACAGACATGTTCCATCATACCTAGGCTGGTTTGGATACTTAATGTCCCCCCAAAGTTCAAGCACTCAAGGCATGGTCCCCAATGCAACAGTGTTTAAATTGGAAGACTTGGGGAACTCATTCATTCATTAGGATTTTGACCTCACTGATGGATGAATACATCAATGTTAGGGCCAACTAGGTAGAGCCTTGTTGGAGAAAGTAGACCACTGAAGGCAGGACCTTGAAGGGTATAATTTGTCCCAGGCCTCTTCCCTTCTGGGTCTCTCCCTCTGCTTTCTGGCCACCACGAGGTGAGCAGCTTTGCTTTACCAGGTGCTCCCTGCCATGTTTTTTATTGCAACAGCCCAAGGCAATGGGACCAGGCCACCATGTAGCTGAAACCTTGCAAACACTGAGTCAAAATGAAAATTTCCTCCTTTCAAGTTGATTTTCTCACAACCATGAAAAGTTGACTAACAACCACTAAAGGTCTTGGCTGAAGATAAGCCAAAATAATAGCAAGAAATGTCTTTATTAATGGTGCCAATGAAGCCAGATTTAAAATTAGGCAGTCAGTGTCGTTAGGTAAATTGGGTCTAATATCCAGTGAAATCTAAAATGGAGGCCATGTTGAGAATGAATTTCTGGAAAAGTTGAGCAACTCTTGAAATATTAATGAAGTCCCAAGAAAAGCCCTAGGCCCAAAGTCCATCCCAAAGAAATGTTAATGAACAGCCCCAGCAGATTTGGAGATTGCCCATCCCAAAGAAGTGTTAATGAAGTCCTTCCTGCCCAGATTACTTGTTTGGCCCACCTGTGTCCCACCCCTCGGGGCCTTCCAACCTACATTCCATCACTGAAAACTATAAAAAGGGGAAACAACTGCACTTCCACGGATTCCACCTCTTGGGTCCCCTTCTTCCTCCGGGAGAAATCTTTTCTGCTGTCCTTTAATAAACTTCTAATTTCTACTCTGACCTCACCTTGGTGTGCTTCTCTGGTGTTATTCTTCAACAATGGGAAAGCAAGGACTTGTCACCTGTCAACAGCGGTAACACCAAGATTCCCACTTACTTTGTCTTCTCCTCTTATGTGTACTTTTAATTCCTGAGATACATCAAATAATTCAAATTGCATAAATTACATAATTTTTACAAGTATGTGCCTGAAAAAGGGGAACTAATGTACTTTCAGGATCATTTTAACTTCAAAAAATTTTAAAGAACAGATTGGTGTTTTTGAAGGTGCCTTAGTAGACACTGCTGCTGAGCAGATGGCTGGAAATGTGGGTCAGTTAAGAGAGCCCTGGCAGCCTGGGATCAGGCTAGAGGGTGGTGGAAGCCTCAAATAAGCCAGATCCCAGGCCTCTGGGGAGGCTTTTCTACTATGGCCATGCATCTTGATGTGCAGGTTTGGCACTGAGTCTTGGGTAGGCGGTGGGGGCCTTCCATCAGGGTTGGGGGTGGTGGTGTTTATTTTAAAGAACAAACAGCACATTACAGAACAGGGGCCTTAATGACTCTTCGTTCTCTGACAACTTCGTATTTATAGATCATTTCCACCCCCAAAACCCCATCAGCATTACTTGTTGAAAATTTTCAAATTTATTTAAAAATAAGTTGCCTTTTAATTTCGAGAATATGAAAAGCTAATGGGTAAGAGTTACAAAGACATGCATTTAAATTTTTTAAAAGTCACATTAAAAATAAGAAAGGGAATATATTATTTCTTAGGGATAATTGCTAAATGTAATTTATACTGCCAGCCCAGTTATTATGCTGAAACAAGACATTATTTGGTGCCTCTTCCAGTGGATAACACTAAAATAAAGGGTTAAAAAAGTTCTAATTTACAATAGTTGTAGATTTACAGAAAAATTATGTAGATAGTAAAGAGAGTTCTCATCTACCCCACACCAAGTTTCCCTGATCATTAAAATCTTGTATTTGGATGATATATTTGTCACAAATAATGAAACAGTATTAATACATTAAAGTTTGTATTTTATTCATATTTCCTTTATTTTTTTTACCTACTGTCCTTTTTCTATCCCAGGATCTCATCCAGGATAGCACACATTATATTTAGTTGTTGTGTCTCTTTGGGCTTCTTTGGGCTGTAACAGTTTCTCAGACTTTCTGTGGTTTTGATGACCATGATAGCCTGGAGTTATATTGGTTAGGTATTTTATGTAATTATCACCCAACTGGGGTTTGTCTTGCATTTTCTTTTATGATTTGAGTGGGGCTAGAAGTTTTGGGGAGGAAAATCGCAGAGGTGAAGCGCCAGTTTTTAATCACACATCAAAGGTACGTACCACTGACAGGATTTATAACTTGATGTTGATCTTGATCATCTCGCTGAGGCAGCGTTAGTCAGGTTTCTCTACTGTAAAGTGACTTTGTTTTCCTGCCTCTGTGTGTGTGTGTGTGTGTGTGTGTGTGCGTGGTGTTAAATCACAATGCTCAGCCCATATGTAAGCAGTGGGGAATTATGTTCTACACTTCCTTGAGAGTGAAGTACTCTGATAAATTACTTGGAATTCTTCTGCCTAAGAAATTTGTGTCTTCTTTCCATTTGTTTCATTTATTTATATGAGTATGGACTTAAGGATATTTGTTTTACACTTTGCCCTAAACCCCAATACTTTTTGATTTATTTATTTTTGCTCAAATTATTCTACCTTTGACTACTGGGAACTTGCAGTTGATTCATTTGTCCCTGTGATATATCCCAAACACAGTGTGTGTGTATTTGCTGTTCATTTATTTGGGGTGGTAGTGGGAGACTATTCCCTACTTGAGGGCACTATAAGATGTTCTAGGCCCATTCTGTATATTTCCTTTTCTAGTTCTAGACTCATCCAGGTCTCCAAGGAGCTCTGATTCCTTTTATTAAAGAATTATATTAGCAACTGATATTCATATGCAAAAGGTATTCAGCTTTAGCTTCTGGAAAAAACATTTTAAATAATGCAATTAAAAACAGATAGGAAGCTGGGTGTGATGGCACACACCTGTAATCCAGCAGCTCAGAAGGCTGAGGCAGGAGGATCATGAGTTCAAAGCCAGCCTCAGCAAAAGTGAGGCACTAGGTAACTCAGTGAGGGCCTGCCTCCAAATAAAATACAAAATAGGACTGGGGACGTGGCTCAGTGGTCAAGTACCCCTGAGTTCAATCCTTGTAATTGTTCCCTCCAAAAAAACAAAAAAGATAGGAATCACATTTTCTAAAGTTCAGTTTCTCTCCATTCAGTCTGTTATGCTGTCATGATTGTGACCTCATTTACTAAAGCATCTTTCTCAGAACTGCCACATCATATGTTATTCTCCTGGATGAGGCATTGTTGTTTTCAAGGCTTGGAAAGACTCAACTATTCTTATAAGAGGCAATGACCCCAAGGAGCTAGTATGTAGCTGCAGGAAGATGACGCCTGTGGTGGAGGTCAGTCTATGTTTACTAGTTTAAGATTAAAGACACTAACCTAGACTGCATCAGCTGTAAGTTAGTTGACATGTAAGTGCTAAAGCTGGTCTGATAAGGTGGTGTCTTAGTTTATAAGATAAAGTCTCAAATACCGCAGTGCTGGGCTAAGCCTTAAAGACTGTGATGGCCTTTCTAATCAATGTGAGCAGTTCCTCTGGTGGAAGCCTTGTTTTCTTCCTTAGGCAAATTGGACCTTTCCTGTTAGCATGCTCAGTGTCTTTCTCTCACAGAAATTTACCAACCAAGTCTCCTGATGACACAAAGTGGAATGGCACTCCTCTCTACATGTTACAGCTTCTGAGGGCAACCTGAGTCTTGAGACCTTTCTCTACCTTTCAGAAGATTTTCTAAAGCTATAGCTTTATTTCATCTATAACTCTACATTCTCTTAATGCTTTTGTTCTTTATTATTTTAAAGAAACATTTTGTATTTTGTTAGTGGGTAAGTAATTTAATAGAATAAGATTTGCATTTTGAACAATTTTTACTACTTTCAATTCTCTCATACTGAACTAGCAGTCATATTTATTGCAATGACTTTAAATCTTATATAGCATAGTGACACTTGGTCATTGTTAAATAGCTTGTCTTCCTTCTCCCTCCTTCCCCATCCTACAGAGAGCTACATGGAATATCTATAAAATTAAGGCTAATAAACATTGTTTGTTTAAACTCTTTTACTTGAGAGTTTAATAACATGTTAGAAGAAGATGAAATACTCAAGAAGTATATGAATCAACATATGGGAATTTATTGCTTAGATAAACTACATCTTGAAGTTGGAAATGTATCCTGGTTGATAACCCCTGCTGTAAGTCCTTTAAAATAACTGTTTTCCTTCTTGCAAACTGTACAATTTCTCTCTTATGAGCAACAGGCTTATTTTTTAATTTCTAAAGCCTGTACGTTGCCAAATCACTCAATCTACAGTAGCTACAGACACTCCTAGGCTATGGCTTTTTTAATATAAAGCACCATGTACACAAAATGATTTGGATGAACCAACTATACTTCCCTTCAAGTTGGGAGGTGATAGAAAGGAAAAGGAGACTGAACTGATAACCAGAAATGTTCCAGAATCCTCAAATTACATTGTACAGCCTTCATCTCAAGGCTACGTGTTAAGTCAGAGTCAGGAATAACTCAAATAGGCTTCGGACATGGAGTAGTATCTGCCCTTGGTTCCAAAGTTATCAAATCCTAATGCAGTTCAGAGGTTCCAGATGGG